GCGGGAGAGGGAGGAGTTAGGGAGCGCGGCTCCCAGCTGACCATGCGAAGGATCCTAGCTGTGCGGAGACTCTGCGTGGAGACAGCGGCGAATTGGAGGCTTCAAGACTGGCTGTCGCCCTCAGGCCCGCTGCGGCCAACCCTGTCCCCGATGCCTACCGAGCGCCTACTGCGAGCCCAGAAGAGCTGAGTGCCGCCCAGAGCCGAGCTCTCCCTCTACCCCAAAATAGCATCACCTCCCTTGCCACCACGAGGAGAACGACTTGCTCAGGGGCACCCAGAGTCAGGATTCTATTCCCCCGCCCCTCAGCAGGGATGGGGGTTTGTCCAGGTTCCCCATCCCAGCGGGCTCCTTCTGGGCGTCCCGGGAGGGCTGGCGGGGCCTTGGAGCCAATCCTCCGCGGTAGTCTCCAGAAGACGCAAGCCACAGCAAATGAAGAACACTCAGCGCAAACTGTGCGCCCTAGCCGGTACTCGGCGTCAGGTTGCCCGGCCCTGCCTGTCCGCAGCGGGGCGCGAAGGTCCCTCAGGCGGCTCGCTCCAGACCGCGCGTCCCCTGCTCCGCAAAGCGCTGCCGCGCGCGCCACCTCTAAATTGTGTTTCCCAGAAACTTTGGCAGAGAATAGACGTGAGCCGCAGGGTTGGAGGGGGCACCTTTCCTCCCCACGTGGCTTTCGAGGCCCGGCCTAGAAGAAGCGGCGCGGTAGTGGCCGGGATGGGACCTCAGCTCCCGGCGAACGGGGCACGGGACGCAGAAAGGGCGTTTGGGAGCTCCTGGTCCCGGCGCGGGTGTGGGCGGGCAGCTCCTGGCCCCTCTGGACCGGATGGGGGCCTTTTACCTAGAGTTGCAGTTCTAGGGTGAGTGGTCCACGAGGTTTCCAGAATCGGCTGCAAATTCTCCTGCTCCGCGCCTTTGCTTCTCCCGGAGGAGGATCCGGAGCTTTCCACAGGGCTTACAGGGACGCCTCCAAACAAGGAAGCCCGGAGCTCCCCTGGAGGAGGCGAGGCACGCAGCCCACTCCTCCTCCCTGGCCTGGGGGCTCGGCCTGCTGCGGTCGCTGCATTCCCTCTCCTGCCGAGGAGTTTGGCGGCTTAAGCATTGACCAAAACTCCACCCCTTCCACCCCGCCTACACTGGAATCCGGACCCCCTAGTTTGAGGCCCAGCTCCCCCGCTGACGGGCTGGTGACCCCGGGCAGGAGTCCCCATTATGTTCCCCATCTGTGCCTGGAGAGAACTGTACTCGCTGAAATAGTGGATTCACCGGAACCTTTTACCCCAACTGTGTTAAACCCTAGTCATATGTGGCCGCTTGGTCTAGTCCACTGGGGTCGGGAGGGAACTGCCTCGGGGAAATGCTGTAGAAGATAGAAGCGCAAGGCAATTTTCCCCAGGTCCTCATTCCTTCGATTTAGTCAAACTAAGGGCCAGGACTGTGTCAGGTGGGGGTCAGCACGCCCCTCCGCCCCCTCTTCGATTGCCAAACTGATTAACAAAGGTCGGTCGTTAGACTGACATATTTTGGGATCTTAGTTCCTCCTTGCCTACCCGTGGGACTTAGACAAGCGACAGAATTTATCGGACATTTACTTTCCTTGCTTTCGAAAGGGAGAGGATTAAACGCAATTGTGTAAGACACTTGGCTAGCCAGGGCCTGGTGCAAGGAGGTTGTGTGAAGACCGGCTGATTGAGTGAATGTGGGGGTAACCCCAAGGGCCAGAAGGAATTAGGGACACAGTGGCATACTGATGATCATTCCTTCCAGCCTGCCTAGGGTCTCTCAGGTTTTCTTAGGCCCCTCAGGGGAATGGTCTGGGAGCTGTTTGCAAGGCTAAATTAAGAACTGGTCTGGTAGTGCAGTGGTTGAGCGCTTGGCAGCTAACCGAAAGGTCACCAGCGCTCCGAGGGCTAAAGATGTGGCAGTTTACAGCCTTGGAAACTCTTTGGGGCAGTTCTACTCTGTCCTATAGGGTGGCTATGGGTCGGAATCGACTCGACGGCAAAGGGTTTTGTTTGTTTTCCCACAGAGAAGGAGTGCTGTGGGCTGCGCCGCGAGACAGTCGCCTGCACTAAAGTGGCCTCTCTCTCACTAGCAGTCTTGAACCAAGGCTGGAGGTGCGCGGGAAGATCAGCGGACATTTGAAAAGGCAGTAGCTGCAGCCTCAGCCACCGCCGGGGCGGGGCAATAATAGGTGGTTCTCTTGTTTGGAAACGCAAAGACTGCCTCTGAGCGCTGATGTTCCCGACTCTTGGGAGGACCTGGTTTCGAATCCTGGTCCTGTTTGGATCTCTGCCTAATTAAGCTGTTTCCCTTCCTGAGCTTTAACTTGAAAAATGGTCATTTTCCCATCCCCATACCCTGGTCCTGGCCCCGAACGAAGTGCAAGCACAGGAATTCACAGGCGAGCTTCGAGCCCAACCTGGAACAGAGAAAAGGCAACCGAGGCCTTCCCTGTGGGGAGGAAGCACCTGCGTGGACGCACCACCAAGCTTCGCCCCTCGAAAGGGCCGCCCAAGGCCGGCCACGGCTCCGGGCAGTTCTGAGTCCTCTGCCTTCACCAGCCTGGGTGTCCAGCTAAAGCTTAAAGGCGTTGGGGGTGGGATGGGGCTGAGGAGAGGAGCCGTCAGATGCCCTCACTGACCCAGCCCGGAATTCAGCGGCCCACTGCGGCCGTCTTGCTTACATTCACCGCGGAAAACTGAAGGCTCTGGACAGGCGCCGCCGCTGCAGGGATGTGCGGGCCGAGGTGTCACTCTGGTGGCAGCCTCTATGCGAATCTGGAGTCCTCTGTTTCTCGTCTGCATCATGAAGGGCTGGTGGGGACCGTCGCGAGGATCGTACAGTCGGTTCTTCAAGTCCCAGGAGGGTAGCCCAGAAACACGGAGGCTGCTCCCGGCCGGAAGACTTCCCGGAGCAAGCCCCGCTGGAGGCCGGGCTGCCCGCGCCTCCCGCTCCTTTTGCAACCCCTGTGCAGCCAGCGGGACTGCTACCGCCGGCAGCGCCCGGGGCTGGGAAGGAAGAAGAGGTTCAGACTAGCCTCTACGCCCAGAATGGAAGCGATTACTAGGAGGCCGATGCCGATGCCGCAGCAGCTGAGCGCCCGCGGTGCCTAGCCTGCGCCTGGCGGAGCAGGGTAGCTCGCACTGCCGGGGTAAAGGATGTTTTAAAAGCAACCGCAGCCGCCTCTCCCTCTCCTCCCACCCTTCCGCGGATCCAGAAGCCGCCGCACCAAATCCCCGCTGTGTCATAAAATATTTTATTGGAAAAAAAGTCACCGTCTTCGAAAGAGAAGGGTAGGGGGCCCCAGAGACGTCGAGGACTCGGGGCCGAGCTGCCGGGTTGTCCCGGGCGCGGTCTCAGGCCGTGGTGGCCTCCGCCGGGCCGCGAGATCCCCAACGCGCAGAAGCGGGTGTGTGACCTGGCGGCGTCCGGCGCCAGGAGGGCCGGCCCGAGGCGGGGTGGGGTGAGGGCGAGGAGCGGGGCGTGGGTACGCGTGGAGGCCCAGGGGAGCTCGGAAGTTGCGAGGGGAGAAGAACAGCTTCCGCCGTCCTGGGCACCGAGTCTCCCAGGCTAGGGCCAGGGGCTCGCTGGGGCCTGGGTTTGGCTTCAGGGTCTTGTCTCCTTCCTCGTTTGGCCCCTAATTGTCCGCATTCAAAGTAATAATAAAACGTTTAGAAGCAGACGACGTGGACGTGGCAGGGCCGGCTCGCGGCTTCACGCGGACTGAGGACAGCGGGCGGCGCGGGGATTCCGGCTCCACAATGCTGCGCTCAGTCATCGCGGCTCCTGTCGGTGGGCTTGCCCGGCGCCTCCGCCGGCTTCTCCGCCTCCTTGGCGCGCTCCTGCTCCGTAAGCTGCTCGCTCGTAGGGATGGAGTTCTTCTTGGGCCGCCCCTTGGGCTTGGTGGGGGACTCCAGGCCTCCGCCCTGAAGCACCTGCGCGGGGGACGGCAGGCACCTCAGTGAGCCGGACCCGGGGACCACCTTGTCCTGCCCCTGGGCAGTCCGCTGGGCCCAACAAGGCCATCCCAGGCCGCACTCAGTCTAGCGAAAAATGGTGGCCATTTTCTGAGTGCTACTGGGGAGAGGCTATGAGAGAGCCTGACCGGAGGTTCAAGGTCGCCAGGAGGCCTGAGGGTGCATGGGGCAGGAAGGAATGTAGGCTCCCTTAGGGCACCTGGAGAGTCGAGAGGGTTCCCATGGGCACCAGGCACCAAAGGAATCAGGATTGGGCAGAAGCCCCCACGGGAGTGTGGGAGAGAAGAGAGGGAGACCAGGTCCGGAGGACACGGGGGCATGGTCGGGAAACTGAGGGTGCGGGAAGCCACGGGGGCACACTCACTATTTTCTTCCACTTCATCCTTCGATTCTGATACCACGTCTTCACCTGCAACTGGCTCAGGCCCAGGGACTCCGCGAGATCTATTCTGCGAACCAGCAGGGCGCACCCTCAGCAGAGCAAGAAGCACCCCCACCCACCGCCTGCTTCGCCCCAGCCTGGCCCCGCGCTACCTGTCCGGCGTGGAGAGGTACTTCTGCTTCTCGAAACGTTTCTCCAGGCCCATCAGCTGCAACTCGGTGAATACGGTGCGGCTCCGGCGTCCCTTCTTGGCCTTGGTGCCCGGCTCCCCTGGGCCCGGCGCCTCCAGCTTCCCGCGGAGCTGCAGCTCTAAGGGCAGGTGCGGCGTGCCCGCGGCGCTAGGCAGCCCAGGCCCTGCGGCCAGCAGCGCAGACCCTAGCCCGGAACAGCTGAGCGGCGCCAGAGGGAACTTGAACACGGCAGCTTGCTCGGCCTTCAGCACGGCTGCGTAAGGAAGAGAGTGGAGAGCCCGGTGAGCTGTGTCCTTGGGCCGAGCCGTGTTCCTCGGTCGTTCTGGGGCCCCAGCGCAATGTGTGAGACCACCCCATGTTCTTCGCCACAGGGGTGCGGGTGCTACCCAGCACAAAACCTTCGTGCTTGGCTGCTGGCCCTAAGATTCGCATCACCCACTGGGGGTGACCCTCCTCAACGCCCGTGTCTCTGGCATTTAGGAAGGGGAACCCTACCCCAACCTGTGCTCTGCCCTGCGTTCCCCATACCCCCACCGCCTCTGAGATTTCTGGGTTATTGAAGAACAATTTTGCACGTCGGAGAGGAGTGGAGTGTGTCTTTGTAGAAAAGAGAAACCAAGAAGAAACAGCAAGCAAGTTAGGAAGATGAGGCATTTGCCCTAACCAAATCAGCATTTCTGCTTTCAGGAAGGAAAACAAATTCAGTGGAGTGTGTACATTTGCTATTCTGTGCATGGCAGTCACTTGGAGGGCCAGGTTGTCAGCAGGGGTCGGGTGGTAGCTTCCCATGAATTCCAAAGCACTCTACGAATTGGGAAACTGTTGTTCTCGTTTTCTCTGTTCAGACTCTTCCCTGTTAAGAAGTTTCCATTTTTCTTTAGTCCTAAAATAATTTATTTTTTGTCCGCTTCAAATGAATTATTAGCAACAGAGCAGCTGGAGGTGAAGCGCAGCCCAGAGGCTGCATCAAAGCTGGACTTAGAACCAACAAACTGGCCCTGTTGCCTTGCTCAGGCCGAGGACTGGCTGGAGAGTCAAAGGGGGCTAGAGAGGCTTGCGAGGCTAGAGTCCCTGCTATCCCATAGGAGGCCTTCCTTCCACAGGCATCTCACCAAAGGGTCTGTCCCTAGCCCCGCTGGAGTTGGGAAAGACGACAACGGATGCTGGCAACGTGGTGATGGGGAATGTGGAAAGGACAGGCGTTGAGTGAGGGGATTGTTAGTAGAGAAGGCGGGAGAAAGGCCGCAGACCGACCCCAGGGAGACGGAGTGAGACCAACTTAAGTTGTGGAGACAGAGACAAGGAAAGGCGACATAGTGGAGAGGGCGCCAGCAGGGCAGAGCAGGCCAGCTAAAGGAAGGAAGAGAAAGAGCAGAGGGAGAAAAAGATTGAGCAGGCCGCTCAGGCTTCTCGAAGGCCTAGCCGACCTGGAAGTGGAAGCGCCAGGCTGGCCAAGGCTCACACTCCAGGCCTCCTGCCCCCCGGCGAGGCTCAGGCAGGGTGCTCTGTGCAGGCCAGGCCGCATTTGTTTGTCGCACCCGGGAGTGCCGCACCAAGAGTGCACCCGGCTCCGGGAGGCTCCAAGCAGGCTGGGACCAGCGTCAGCCTCCAGCGCTCGGAGACCGGGGTCTCTTCTCTAAGATCCCAGCTTCCTCGCCTTGATCAGTCACGGCCACTCCCAGCCAGCCCTCCAGGCGAAAACCCAGGCGCCGGCGGCCTGAGGTCGCTTTGGCCGGGCAGTGGTCGTCAGCCTGAAGCCCAAGCGAGGGCGAGACCGGGGTCCGAGAGGGAGTCTGCCTTGTGCCTGCGTTGGGGATGGCGGGCTCAAGTCCCTGGGCCCGGACCCCTCCTGGGTTGGAGGCCTCAGTGCCGGCTGTGCGGAGGGAGCGCGCAGCAAACACCGTCCCCGGCCGGACCTTATGGCCCAAGGCCTGGTTTCTGCTCCGCCGGGCGACCGGCCCCTCCGCTTCCCGGCCAGAGCGCGCCGAGAGGGGCTCTGAGGACTGCACGCCCAGAGCT